TTTGTTTCCCTGTTTTCTTGTCGACTCAACTTTCATATTTTGTCATGCGACTCAATCGTTTCGATAAGTTAGAGATAAAAAAAAACGGTCGAAAAAAATGCTTTTCACGTTTTAACACCATCTCCTTTGGAAAAGAACTTCTTTTACACGGTGGAACATCTAAATTCGGACCTTTTGTTAGGAGTTGTTTTCAAGACTATATCTAAACAAAAATAGATATTTTAACGATTTGCGTGCGCCAAGGTGTCACTTTTAACTTCCACATTTATTCAGTATGACCGCTTCAGTTCGAGATCTGAACTACTAACTAGTCTTTTTCAAAATATTCCTATTGTAACCTACAAATGACTTTTCAATAAGGACCGCACGTCAAGCGGTACTGATCGGAGACCGCTCGTATTGCTCCAATACGGTGTATATAAAGAAATGTTGATTTTGGTGGAGGTTTATCCAGCGTAAAAAGATAAAGTATTAGCTGATCCGAAAAAACAACGCTGATTTTTTACCATGGTGAATTTGCCATAAAAGGCATTGATTGACTAGCGGATTAATGCACGCCCGCTCCCACATATGACCTGTCAAGGTCTGTCTGAAGCTAGGCATCTGAACTTGTATAGCTGATTTCATTTATCCCTAAGCGATCGATCTTGGCACTGCTGCTCAGTATCGCTTTAGGAAGCTGTGGAAACAACGGATTATTTTTTAGATTAGTCCTTTATTTACGTTATCACGCGAAACTCAACCATCGTGAGCTCGCAATAGATAAGCTATGTAATGCATAATGTTTTGAAATAAATATATGCTGATAAACTTAAAAAGCTTTCCACAATGTGATAAAGCAGATACAACAACTTTTGTTCACCAGTTTTAATAGGTGCTAGACCTTACTTTGTCAAGATAATTTAGTTTTTAACTATAGGTCTGATATTGTTTTTCCTCTGGCAGCTTGTACAACAATATATTTTCCTAATAGCTTCTTTAGAATGCACTTCCTTAGAGCCCTGAATAGAATAATTTAGTATATACGTTAGTATGGTAATTTGAATAGCTATAAACGACTAGCCATTGGATATGATGCTGGCAGCATATAGGTAGAACAATAGGGTTCGCACGTATTAAATGGAATTTGTAATTTCCGGCATATGTATACGGATATATTCAATCAGTTTTTAATAGTCCGTAGACTTGCTTGACAAGATAAGAGCTAAACCTCAGCTTTGTATCCTCTGCAACACGAGCCTTTCATTTGTCATTTCAAGTCTCATAATTATATGAAATTAATCACAAAAATTTAATACTTTTTGCTGAGTTGCTACGTCTGGGTGATTCTTCGATTTCCGACTTAGAATGGAGCACTCATAATTGTATGCTACTGCGCCCTTAGTACAAGCCGGCTTTTATTCAAACCTCCTTATTGTAAGGTGCATTTAATAGATGTTCCATATTTTCGAAATATCTAAAGACATTAGCATTTCATTCCACAGCGCTCATACGCCTCAAAGAAATCCTGCTACAACTCGAGCAACATCTGTCTGACCTTAAAAAAAAGGCGTCCTTTTATATCAGTGTGTGTTTGCATATCTCAGTATTACGTTCGCTCATTGGGGGTATCATTATTCCTCAGAAAACATCCTCGCGTCAGCAAGTGAAGGCTAATCAGGGAACAACGGCTGACGTAAAGCCGACGGAGCGACTACGTCGTAATCAGCACGAAATAGCATGGGCTGTTGTGTTCATAGATTAAATAGTATTATTTGGTCAACAAGACTTGCTTAACTTACCTCGACACTAGCCGAAACCGATATGGAGAATATCGTCCTGAACGTGCATCAGCCGTTCTGGTTCTGATGACCACATCAGATAGTGTCGACGATACCGAACACCTATGTAGACAGGAACATAACTGGTAACGCATATCAGCCGCTTGTCAATATGAAAGATCCACAGTTGATGTTAATCTTCTTCCAGTTTGCGCCTTAAGGACAGGCAAGGTCGTGCAATCTTAAGCTACAGTCCAAACTGAGAAGTCAATAGTGCACAGACTGACAGAGCGAAGGTTGTGCAAACAATTCATAAAACAAGTAGATAAAGGAAGCTTTTAGTGATGGAGGCTCGTTTATGTATCCAGCACAGTTGAAGTCACGCTATGGCATCACGTTGGTCACCTAGTATTACGTCCTATATATATATATATATATAGCATTATCATTCGTTCATTTTATCGATGCCGAAATCGGTAACGTGAAGCTTTGAATCATGTCATTTTTGTAGTCGCATATTATTTGTTTTTTCCTCTATTCTGGAGAAAATATATTGCTTCGAGTATCAGGCAGGCTCAGGCGGTAAGCGTTTGAGCCATGGCAGTAAAAATGTACTCCAGCATTGTATGTCATACGTGTCAAATACAAGGACGCGTTTAACGCACAAGTTTCGCGCTCATATATATATATATATATATATATATATATATATGCATGTGTGTTTGTTCAGCCTCTGTACAAGTCAATAAGTTCATTTCTTTCAGTCAACCGTACAAAAGTAATAAAATTTGGATGACCCGCCGTCATCTTGTTGGTACGGCGAATAGCGAGCCCGGGGCAGAAAGATCTGCTCCGCTATTCTATGCCCCGTTTCGATGCTCCAATAACCTGACAGGTTCCGGGCGAAATTCAGTGCAGCTGTATCCGTCAGAGAAGGGGCTACCGGAAAGGAGTCGACACGTGCGCCTCTCGTACATCAAATTGGAAACGGCGATCCGAACTGCCAAACGAACCGAGGTGCCAAGTCCGCCTACCCGAAGCGCAATAGCAAGAAAAGGAAGCACAAAATGTTCATAAGAAGAGAGTAACACATAGACATGGGTCGTCTCTTCGAGATCGAGGAATTGCAAGGGCAGACACTGGCCGTAGCACAAAAGGTGGATATCTAAGGGCGCTTTGCCGACCCTTGTTGCATCTGCTACCTTCGCGTCCTTGGTTTTGCAGTTCCCGTTAGGAATGAAGTTAGTATGTAGACGAAACACCAGACGGACGAAGAGTTGAAGATGAGGAGGAAGCATGCTATAATCTTATACTGTGCGGTGTGGATCAGTAGGGGTTGTATGCAATGCAAGGGACTGACACGTTTCGTTTTGTTGAAAACGGCATCGTAAAATAAGGCAAAGACGCTTCACTTTGTTCAACGGAAGAAATGGCAAACTATGTAGTTAGTAGGAACGCTAACTCCAACAAGACGCTGTGTGTTCTTTAAGCGATGTCCTATTCAGCTATAATACCGGGATAACATGACCTTTCATTTTCCGGCTGAAAAGTGTTTCCAGTCAGTAGAGAATAAATATGGCTACTCTACCGTATTTTACCGACTACGAGGTTTTCAATTTCTCATTGCTCTATTCATATAGTTAGCTGCTGACCCAATCTAAATTGAACAGGCGTTCAATTAAGCTCATCTGCAAAGTATCTCAGCCTTACATTTGAACTCAAATTAGACTAGGTTAGTCCTTTATTTAAATTATATACAATATAGTATCGTTGCATTTGTATGAAAAGTCTCCCCTAGAATGTATTTCCGTAGATTTATAAATAAATACCTTATTGAATCGATAATTACGCTATTGTGGTTTGTGGGAGAATATTTTGTCAGCATCTAAATATGATATTAGCAATACACAGTAATCCCATTCGGACTAACTGTGGTGTTTCAAAGTACATCAAGTCTCTTCAGGGAGCATCGAAATCTTATTATTTCATCGCTTCACACGCTTCGGATTTGTTGTCTCATGCGCAAATCAATGTACGCCCAAAACGAATTAAAGTACATATTATATCCACCGTTACCAGCCTTCTGAATATCTGTTTAGAAATAAGCATAGTACATAGCAAGCCTAATTATTTGAGCACAACAAGTTAACAACGCAGACTTCATTTAGGGCTACTAAGCTCCCCATATCCGTTACGTAGAAAATCGCTAATTATTTCGCTCAGCGTTAGAAAAATTGATTACGCATCGCTCACACGCTGATGTTCTTATTGCTATATGTTAGTTACGTCAAATGAGAGTGCTATTTAATTCTTGACTGACTTCACTCTTAGCAGCTAATACGGCCTTAGGGCTCATATATATGAATAAAGTTCATTTAAGCTGAATTGTTTATTTTTCGAACAGTGCGGTATTGTTTCTTACCTATACGACAGGTGATAGGCATATACTGGAAGGTAGCTGATATAGGAGGGCAAGATAAGAGATGAGCGTTGGAGCACCCGACTCGGTGCATTGTGGGTGAACGTGACATGTATCCAACAGAGAGACGAAGTAAGAGAAAATAAGAGTGAATTGAAACTGAAGTTGGTGACCAAACCAAGGGGGCACAGAAAAGTAGGTTCGAGGTGGAGTCTTGCTACCGCATACAAACAAGCGTTACGCCAGCAAGAAACGCGTGCTTTGAGGAAAAACATTTCACGTACGTGCTCTTTAGGTTCTTTTTGCCGTTCGTTTTTGAGGTATACGCCGGGGCACAAACGAGGGACCAAAAATCTATTGGCTATGGAATAGATAAACTTCCTGAGAATAAGAGCCATCGAAGTTTCATTCAGAAAAGCAAACTACCTTCTATATATATATATATATATATTGTATAGTTCCGGAATCGTTGAGAGTGATCTACGTATGTGCATATATGTGTATATAAATATACGTACTAATGCTTGCCAGTGTATCTCTGTCAACGTTTATATAATTTGCAACATGCGCAAAATGTTTATACATTATTTCTATTTTCGTTAGTCTGGCACAGTACTTGTAAAAAAAAGTTTGGCCCCACCATTGGCCCAAATACTAAGCTTTATCCTTCAACTTCAAACTATATATGAATGACTGGTAATTATTATTCCATTAAGATATTATATATGTGCGGCGTTTTTTTTGTCTGCTCTTATTATCGACATAATTATTGGTATTTATAAAAAACACTTTCGTAAAAGCTTCAAACTATAGATGCCGTTGGTGGCTTTTATTATCGCTCTGACTCCTTGTCATGGTGGAATGAAATTAATCATTTTGCTTTATGACACATGTTGTCTCCGTGTATATGTGCATTGCCGAACTCGAACCAGTGAGACCTAGGATGATTCCATATTTTTGAGCCTAGACGGTAAGGGAGCAGATTCCCGGATTTGACGCTGGTCTTTGTAAGCAACTTTTAATATCGTAAAAATAATATCCGAGTAGTAGGAGAATTATGTGGCTGAGGGTTTGCGCTTTGTTCTCATATACGCTGACCATTGTTTCATTTGAAAAATAATGCTTTACGAGGCATAGACTGGACACAAGAAAAAAACGTGGAGTTTAACCTTAGATCGATATAACTGAATGCTTCAAATAATAATTGTAGTGTTTATTGTTCACTTCTCACGATTTATAGATTGATCACCTTATAGATTACGTCTTGTGTCTCGTACAATGTCCACGGCGTCAACCTTAGTTTTCAACATAAAGGCGTAGCACTAAGTGCTAGCACGGTAATCACTATACACAAACAGGTAGTAGTCTTAACTATGCAATTCATTCAGCATATTCGCATACTATCTAGCGGTTGCAAAAGACTTGGCTAGAAGGCCGCTATTACATCATACCGTTTAATGAGGCCAACCTGCCCGCCAGAGCTTAACCTAGGGGCCTTCTCTGGCCTGTACGTAGTCCTATTCTCACTGACACTAGTTGTAGAGATGTCCTATAAAACGCAGGCCATACAGAGAAACATCGACAACTTGCCCGGCTCTGTAATCTGCCTTCAATGAATCCTCAGTTCGCTCCGGTCAGTTTAATAACAACAAGCCCGATTCATAACGTTGCATGCTAATATGATCAGAACGTATTTGTCGTAACTAGCGTTGTGTACTTAATGGAAAATTTCAGTGTATCATTTATTCGCTCCGCCCATTTGCCATTCGAGCTACGTGACCCTTGCTAGCAGCATTCACGGGTTTACTATACAGTGAAGTCTCTCCATGATGTTGCTAGTCTGATAAGCTAGAAATGATGTTGTGACTGCACAACTATCAAACATAAATTAACGTACCGGTCGTACCACTTGAGTATATTGATCTGGTAACGATTTCTGGGAAACATTAGAATCCACTGAAAACTTAGAAATTTCCTTGTAATGCAATCAACTTCTCTAAACTAACGACCAAATGGTCGCTGGGCAAATGAGAGAACGCTGTAAGAAAATATGAAGTGAATTAGGACACAGACTAAGCATAGGTTATACTTAGCGGCATATATTTAAGTACTACCAGGAGTTTGCCAAAAAATGCTTCATTGTAATCCACTTGCTCAGGCAGTGTATCTGGGAGGCGCACATTTGATGACCTAATAATTGCGTCGATACTATGTAAGTCTTGGCTGTCTATTTGTTTGCATCCCATGCATGCAACATGTGCTTATAGGAAGCCTCATGTAAAATATTTGTTTATATTATTTGAAGAATAGTTAGTTCTTCGATCACCGATCTCGCTGATCGTATCATTCTGTATCCACTCGTTTTGCCTCTTTCTCTAGGTCTGCATACTAGCTGTATTGCTATGCGCAAAGTAAACTATCTGCCGTAGAAGTGAAGCGGCGAAAAGAAATAATGCGGGTGAAGTAAAGGCGAATAGGGCCCTTGGGCACGGTGTCGGGACGCCGCCAGCTGACTTTCTAGACTCGGTCAGCTCCGACTGTTATTCTTGGGAGAAGTGCTGCGTTAGCTATATTTGCTCTTAGCTCTTGTTATCCTGTAGTCCAATATGCGATAGGCAATGCAAGACGGGAAATGGGCTGTGCAGTTCAACGTAATTTCTGTTATACGTGGTTTCACACATAAAAACAATTCATAAAAGCATATAGAGTATTCTGTCTACGAGCAATGAAATTTCTTTATCTAATCAAATCTAGGAAATTGTGTATTAAGCTTAAGTATCAGTAGATTGTTATTGATTATTTATTTATTGATTTATTAGTTACTATTAAAACTCTGGTTAATTTCTTCTTCTTCTTCTCCTTTAGAGATGAATTTACCAGAATGAACATAGGATCTGACCTACCTTCATATACATATATATATGAAATATATATATAATATATATGTATATTTCATACTATATTGGTTTGATCATCATGTTGAAAACATACGAAACTAAAAAGCGATCAGGAAATGAAAACTAACTATTTGTTATATATATATATAACCACGGTATTATAAAATACATGCCCCTGGAGTTTGCTCCCACAAGGCTGTGAAGAGCTGCTGGGTGGTTTGCTGATCAGTTGTATGCGGCTAACCGACCGCCGTAGTACTACCTACTGTGGTATCAACGTTAAATCACATAAAAAATCTGCCTGTGGCGGGCCTCATCGGTTTTAGAATGCACTCATGACGTGTCGCTGTTAACTTCACTTCAGTGAAGCCTAAAAACGACGTCCCGTTGTAGGAGGCGGTACGTGCTATGGCGCAAATGCTTGTCTGTAACGCTTGTAGTCCTTATCCTGGGGATATATCGCGAGTACCGAACAGGTAAACATCTTTGAAACAAAATGTGTGGTATAAATGCCTTTCTGAGACGCGTATGGGAGTGAGGAAGGGGATGAATCAAATCAATAAAAAATGAACTATACAACAGACCTTTTGTTAAGTCTTAAGCCAGAATCTACCCTCCTATACCGTGAATCTACAAACTCAAAAAAAAAAAGCTGGTTGTCTGCTTATAGCATACTTTGCTTATATAACTTGCGTAAAACCGACACTATTTTGTAATTTTGCTAGTACCTCATTTTGTTTCTTTTTTGTATAACTAACTTTCGTAGCTAAAAAAGAGGTCAGTGCTTTTTTGAAGTCTACAGCTCAATTCTTTTCAGACTCTAACTTTCCAGATACTAGCACTTTGAACAAATGTAAATCCCAAAGGACAACTAACAACGAAGCAATAAAATATAACGTCGTGTTTCTATTCATTTGCCAACATCCTTCTAATTCCCAGCCTGTACTAAAACAGCTGAACCCGAGTCAGCGTCAGCCACTTCGGGAAGAGACAGCCCGCTCATCTCGCGGGAATTTCTTCATTCGCCCGAGGGCAGACCTTGACGTCTTTTCTATTTCGCACGTCGACTATTCGCGCAAATAAAGATAAGATGGACCAAAGCATTAACAAGGTACGTGATCGATCTTGTCTTCTAATAGTTCTGCTAGAAAATCTCCGGTTGATTGGGTTGAATCCAAAAGGAATCATTGTGATAGCCAGAACAGTGGAATGAATAGTCATACTTAAGCAGCTAAAAATTTGCGTTCATTTCGTACAGGCGTGTTGGCTACCTGATCGCACTCAAAATGTCGTAAATATATTACGTGATAATAAGGAGCTTGCGTTCGTATGTTGTTTATTATTATTATTACATTTAGTCATAGATTTACCTCTACGTCTGACTACCAGACGTGTTTCAATTTACGGTCATTTTTGAGTTTTCACGCTAGTGTTATTTCGAGTTTGATTCGATTACTTCTTGCAGGTTAAATGTTCCCCACAAAGAACATTTGCTAGGCCATAGTAAGATAGATATATCACAGATGTACAAACGGAGAAACAAAGGAATATTTGAAACTATCTGCAGCATAAACTGTTCGAAAAATTATTTTGTACCGATTTCTGAGAGCGGTAAAGAAAACGGTCACTTTCCTTAAACTAAACAAATTAGTCTTTTCGTAACGGTAACAGGTAACAGACAATTTAAATAAGGCACAAGGCCCCTTTATTGTCTTCAAAATGTTTGTCATTCTTCTATGTTTTCATAGTGCAAAGACATCGCAGTTGCGTCATCATGCCTGAGCATCTATTATATATCGATTAACAATTACAGCTAAAAAGGTTGCAATGGCGTTTCATCGGCAAGGCAATGTACGAAATATATATAACCATTCAGGGCCTTCGTACTAATTCTGACTTTAGTAGCTCTTTCCCAATTTCTTTTAGATATATTCTCATTCAAATTATTTTCGTACGTTAACACAGATCTAACAGCATCAGATTGTCTTACACCTGTTGTTTGCCACTTTTTTTTTATACCACTTCAACTACTTCCGCCACTACTGCTTGCTTACTCTAAAATCATGAAATTTATATTTGAATTTTTTCATACGATGGAACTTCGTTTGCAAAGACACTATTCGATGATATAACTTTTATGAATTTCATCAGCTCGGTGCATCTAGCTTGGTTCAGCTGCTTGCACTTGAGCGTAGTAGCATCATATCAACAGCGATCAAACTTTAGTAGCTTCTTCTCGCTCCTCCTTGAGCACTTTGGCAGCAATTCTGTTTAGCTCTTGTCGAGCCTCCTCATCCCAAATGTTAACATAATACTTGTAGTAGTCGTAGCGGGCCTCGGCTAGCGACACGTTGAGTATCCTGGTCGCGCAGAAACATATGGTACCACCAATTGTTCCAAACACCATTCCTGTGTGTTCGTAAAAACAACAAAAAACAGGTAACTAGACAATACAATAAGAATGTTACTATACTAAAAATTGCAGCAGTTGCATAATACGACTAGGACCTTTAATAGTAAAACTAATTCGCCAACAACAAACTGTGATCAGCTCACCTAATATAGTTCCAAACCACATTCCCCTCAGACCGAGGTGACTCCTGTAGATTGCTGCCGTAAGTCCTCCGGCTAGGACATGCTCGAAAATGCCGAATTTTTCCCTATACACGGAACCTGATATGACACCGAGCATGTAGATCCCCGAAAAAAGGCTCGTTCGCCAAGCCATCTTTAACCCTCCTCGGGTAGCTTGCACAAACTGGTCAAAATGAGATACGAACATGGTAACATTGATACGTCGGATATCAGGAACACAAATACATGAAACATGTAATGAAGCTTTTCTCTTCTGTATACGTATGATACTATATGAACGATTCACACGTTGTGACAAGCAGTGTAGTGCAAGACCAATAATATTACATATCCATACATTAAATTGTAATGTTTATTCAACATTGCATTTTTTTGGAGTAAAATGTCTGTACGCGAAACTTCATCCGGCTTGGTAGTAAAAGAGCTGATCACCTGATACAACAATGAACTCACCACTTAAATGTGATTCTGTTCTAAGTAGCTAACTTTATACATTTTCAAACAGTAGTGCTTTGCCTCTTACGTATTTAAACATGCATAAGTAGCACAGATTGGTATTAATACGACTTACTAATCTGTGTACCATTCTATCGTTGCAGGTGAAATAATTACCGTTATAAACCAAATCTAGAGATCAGAGTTGAGTGCTGGCGTAGAAGTATCACTCATTTTTGGTGGTCATAGTCAATTGACACAATAGAAACCTTCAGTCTATCCCATTGCGTTAATCGATGTCGCGTCATGTTTATACCTGCTGATCCAGGAGTTTGCGCTGGTAATCTTTGCCGTCGAAGAATTTGTTGTGGTTATTCTGTCTGACAAAATTTTCTCTGGCTTGCTTTGCATAATTCAAACCTCCAGTAAGGAATCCCATTAAACCACTTAGCGAAGATGTCGTTACTGAAAAAGAGAATAGCAGCGAAAGGCCTTTTTTACAATAGTTTTTTTTTTGTGAACTATATTATTCGCTACACTACAATCTTCAAAAGCTGGGTCCACTTGTAATACATGCTCTGCATCATCTATGGCAAGGTCAATTTAAAAGTCAAAATGCCAAGATCGTTCACCTTTTATTTTAGCAACTGGAGTTCGAGCTCGCGGGTGACAAGAGATTACTGAACGTGAACTAATCATATTCCATGCTAAGATGCAAGGTACTTAATTACCTAAGTATGAAGACGAATTTTATCAATCAATGCAACCGAAGTACGAAGATCGGCGTAAAAAAACGCTGGCTTACCTACTATATTCAGCTCTGGTGATAGTCGGCCATGGTTCCAGGAGTACATCTGACACAATCTGGACCAGCCAGTTTCGTCGAAGCGGCCGAGTCCTGGAACCTTGTGCTTTAAGAGTTTAATATCGTGATCGATTTCGGAGACTACACCGTGTGGTTTGCTGAAGTTCGTCATTGTACAGAACCGAATAAGTGCTCACTTTTGTAGGACAAAAATTCAGGTAAAACCTCAGGCAATGGGATCCCGGTTCCACCAAACAATGACAAGGTTTTCGGTAAAATAGAGGCGAAAGTTCAAGGAAACTTATGTTGTGTAAACAAACTTTTGTTTGTATATTATGCACTGGGCATAAGGCTCTATAATGCAAACGGGCCGTCGGAACGGCTGATGTCAGCTAGTTGAGACTTGCTAGTACTTCCACAATTCTTCTGATTTGCGTTGAGACAAAGCCTCACTTCTGGTAAGATGCTCCGAGTCACAGTCACTTCGGAACAGATTGAACCAGCCAAGACTAATCAGGTTCGTACTGTTGTTTAAACTTTGTCTAGGAAACGCAAAATTGGTGGATAGATTAATCCTTCTGTCTTTTTCCTACTGTCACGTTGTCTTAGTTGTTGACCATGAGACCGTATCCGAGCCAGGCAAGGAGCCAAAAAGCAAAGATGGCGGGTACTGATAGCGGCACCAAAAGAGCGTAGTACAGGGCGTCCTCGCTCATCGAACACGTAAACGCAAGTGGTTCTGGAACGTAAGGACGTATAACGTAATTAAAATGAAAATAAGTAACATGTATCCTTCCTTAAAACTCTAGAAATTCAGCAACGACAATGGCAGGGTTAACAGTGGTGTGCTAACCCGCTTCAATTCGAAAGGCTTGATAATCTGTTGCACACTATACAACAAGACATTAGAGGTAAAGAAAACACACTCGTTTCTATATCTGTAGAAAAGTAGATATACTCAAGAATTATATATGATTAAGATTAAGATTTCTGTCATATGGTCAAGTAGCTTAAATGCTATGACTGCATTTTTATAATAAAATTAGAGTTTTCAAAATTTCTTGAGCAGTTTCTCCTAGCTGAAGGTTTCAACTGACTTAAGCGACTGAAGCCTCATAAAATCGTTATGTTAAATATACATAATACTTTTTATCTATGCAAATATTGTTACAATGGATTTTCTTTCGTCGCTATAAAAATGCGATTTAATTAGAATTACTTTCACACCACAACAAAACAACACTGACAAAATCCTAATGCATTTAGAATTTCTAAGTCACTTGACAGGCTTGAACAACTGTGACCATAGGGTGAGGGAGAAGTCCTCTCTAATTGTTTAGTGGCTCGACATAGGCGATTTACTAACACTTTTATTTAGTGATAAGTTTAAGTAGCAACCCTATATCTGGATGAAAACCCTATGATGGTAAGGTTTCTGAGATGCCATTTGAGATCTTAAATATTATTACCTGCTCAGTTATCGTTCTTCATATTATGAGCCAGCATTTCTTATTCGTCGTACGCGGTCTGACTGCACTAACCGTCCGCAATATAATCAGACACAAAATGTAACTTACATTATTAGTAAAGCCAAACATTTCACTAGAAAAAGGCTAACAAAATTATCATTATTTGCCCTTCCGCGAAAATAGTATGTTTTTGTCTATAGTAAAAACGATATCAGAATACAACATTTGATTAAGAAAAGGGTGACGACTTAGTTTCTTTAGTTCCAAAATATTTGCTGTAACATTTCAAGTAATAATTGCTTGCGATCAACATATTTCGGCTAGAATATACGCTGTGATAACTTGCGCAAATAAACACATTTTGTCACGCTATTTACGAACGAATCCACTGCGTATGCTATAATACTTGGAAAAATAAGCATAAAAGTTCATCACGTAGTTTATTAAAGTCAGCCCTTGCAGATATAATTACAATCTCAGTAAATGCAAAATTTATCAATTAAAGAAGACAATTTTACGTCTTCTGTCTAACGTCTCGCTTTCTCAGACAACTCGTATACCGACATCCGCGTCCGTGAATAAACTCGAAACCTTATGTTACTTCTCGGAAACGTCCACTATTGGGGAATTTTCTTGAGAACTCGATACTTGTAGCGAATGCCATTTTCTTCCTGTTCTTCGTTCGTTACAGCGGGATCTTCAATATCGGTGAATTTCCTTGTGTCTATATTAAGGAACGTATCACATTCGAATTGGCCTAACACTTCTGTGAGATAGACGGTGTCCATGGCCGGATGTCGCATAGCATCAACGTAAACCTGAGTGCCTCCAATGACAAAGATGCGTTCCACACGACTTTGCCCCTTACAGCAGCCCGTACCGGCAATCTCCAAAGCTTCATCAAATGATTTTGCCACTTTTACACCCTCGGGTACCGACTCCTGACAAAGGCCACTGCTGATAACAATGTTGATTCTACGTGGTAAGGGCCTTCGATTTTCCGGAATACTTTCCCAGGTTCGGCGACCCATGACAACTGCGTTACATTTGTCTGGGTCCGTTGTGTTGGTTGTGACTCGAGCAAAGTGCTTCATTTCGTTTGGTAGGCTTCGGCCCCAGGGCAGACTGCCTTTGTTACCAATACCCTTCGAGGCTTTGCAGACGGCCACTATTGCGCACAATGGAGGAACAGCCATTATGAAAGGATCCTGCAAACATGGAGCAAAATGCCTTGAACAAGCGATTTTTTATTAGAGCGTTATACTGCACTCATTTTTGAAGAACACAATGGATGAACCGGTCAGTACTCTAAAGGAATACAGCAAGACAAACCGGATTGAATGATCTTTTTTCCTTCGGGTTTCTAATCCTTAGCTAGATTTTATTAAAGGCACTCAATACAAGCAAATTTCCTCAAGCATCTAGTCAACATCTTTGTTTAGTTTAAAGTGAGTAGCGAGACCGATGGCGGCGGTGGTTTATGTTCTTAATTTTCCATTTTAACTCGTTTTCGGTACGTGAATGGGTAAACACATGCCGCATAGTGAGACTTCAACGAGGAACTTTCGTCTGTTTCATAATATAAAGAAGCACCGGCGTATTTTCGTAGCAGTCAAATGTTTTTCATACAGCTTGGCTGATCCACGTGTTACGTACAGTGGCATTCCATGAAAATGCAACGTCACGCATGGTTACTTGAGCTATCTAACTAACTGTAGTGGCAAGAAATAATACGGTTAATTAGCTTGTATTGGTTTGCCCGTGCAGGCAGCTATCTACTGCCTACATATTATATTAGACTGCCCTCTTCTCGCAGCGTTTCATACATTTGTAACCACAGTACGGTTACGTAACGCATCCAGTTGATACTGCTGGTGAAACGCTGTAATCATTATTAAAGAATAGACAAATATGAAATACTGAGTGAAGGCAAGGAACGCGATGTATTTCTGTTGCCTTAGACCTAATCGCATGTATATATATATATATATATATATATTTCGCCTTTAATCGATTAATTAGCACAATTACTACACATCATTCGCCTGATGTACGAACATCCTCTATTATACTATTACTATTATAGGGCTTTGTCAACTTAGACATGCGATTAGGTATATATATATATATATATATATATATGCTTCAACACGCCATAGGCAATAAGTGAGCAAACATTTTTAGCATAAGAAAATATCGTATTTAGCTATTATAATTTCAGGCTCAACATTTACGCAAGATGCCTGTATCAGTAGGATCATAATTTACGCAATAACTTACGATTATTATTCTTAATGTTAAAATGCATAAGTAATGTCCGGTTATTTCGTCTGGTCTTTATTACTACCACTCCGCCATTCTGTCTATCTCTACATACAACTCCTCTATAAGCACCCTTCTTCCTCTACAGATCCGTTCGAAGTTCGTTGTGCGTTGAACGAAAGCGAGTTCAAAATCGAAATATGCATTATATATTCCGAAAAATTCGCGTTCTCAATAACAACTTTGTTTTGACTTTACTGAAATCAAAGACTAACGAGGCCACCCTATGTATTTGTGCCAGATGGCTCCTTGAACCTGAAGGGTGCACCCTACCTCGGGCGGTGGTTTTGCCTGAAAACTTTTTTTAAAGAAAGGCGACAGGCAAACGTCTCGTGAACTGATCACAAAGATACAAACGCTCGATTACCATTAGGCACTTTGACCCTGTTGGATTTCATTAAACATTGAGGGTTTGGTGTTCGATAAACTTGGCTAAAAGCATTACGGCATTTCAACTATTTTTAGCGTCTTCTTTAACAACAGCGTAGTAGACTTAATAACAGACGGCTACATAGACTTGTTACGAGACATGCGACAAGCGGTGTACCGACTTCCATTATGATGTGGAGAAAAGAAATGTTGGAATTGGAAGATTCCCCTAAGCTCAGAGTTACGCGGATGTTTATTTGAGACAGACTAGCATTAGTTAAAAAAAGTTTTCGACACTACTATAAATTTTCTAACGGATCACGATAAAAAATTGGCTGACAAATAGAGTTATGAAAAGAGTATCGTACAGCACAATCGGGATGCATATAACATCAATCTTTAATAACAGTAATGTGAACTAAACAATGAATTTTTATTAGCTAAAGTGACAGACATTATCTGCATGTTAACTCAGTATTGTTATTCTCATCTCTATCCTTCCAAAAATGACTCAGAGAGTTAACACAACTACGGTAAGCCCAAAAAATTACTTGTTTTTTTCCTAACTGGCCTAAGTATATCATGTTTGTTACAAGTACTAAATACAATTACGAAGCCCCTAGATACTATTTCGGTAATTAATATTCATTATAACTAAATGAAAAAAAATTGACAGTGAATTATTTTTGTTCCTCTTCATATGCGTCTTCTTGGATGTTTGGTCAAAATTGATTTTGGTAAATAAATACCTAAACGAGTTAAGCCAACAAAAACTACAGCGTTTTGAAGAACTGATATTACACAGCGTATTCATTACATTGTCTTTTAATTCAACACCCACTTTTTTAGTATCGACATCGACATACTAAGTTCTTCATTGAAACCTATAACTAAGTTCATATTTCAATTAAAAAAACTAGACCGTTTGCTACAGCCCACATCCTATCTGAGGAACTGTTACATCGGTTCGCTTTTAATTGGCATCGTGCATCGGCCCTAAAAAGTTCTAACAGCTAGAAACTTGTTTCACACACAAAGCACACCACTCATTTTTAAAGGTTTTTAAGTATATATATACATGAAAATGATTCCATTCACTTACCAATGAAATTAAGTAGCACCTTAAAGTTGCCGACGACGAAGACACCTACTGTGCTCTCTAAAAAGGTTCACAATACATTATCCCTTCTACGCTAAGGCTCTGACTAGTATTCGTTGAGGTTAGAGCGTGAAACCATTGCTACCAACTACTTTTTTTTTTGAAGTACGAAAAAACGATAACCTGTGCGCTTTATCGACAGTCACCCCGGGAGCTCTCGAGTCTCGTAAAACGCACAATGATCGTCGCCGTATTTCAACACATCAATGGCGGCGTTGGCGTCCTCGACCAGGGGAAGTTTTCTTAAACGTAGACAAACACATACATATTACCCCGTCTGCTATCCAGGATAATGAGCTATGTTCAGTTTTTAGAATCCACGCGGCAACAGCATAGGCCGCCAGACAGGCAGCCATCCGGCAGCTAAAGCCTGGCAACTGCGCGAAGCCGGTTGCGGTAGTCGCAGCCATAATTAAAAAATATGTGCGCAGACAATACCATCGGTCCACGTATCTGCGATGAAAAGGTTACCTTCCACGCGAAGGACACGAATGGTCAAATTGCATGAACTAACCTGCTTCGAGCTGCTCGTCTGTACACGTTAGATTATCTATCACCGCCGAACTTACTTCTCACGAGAATATCCTGTGTGACGATTTTCAACGCTTGCTTGTATTCGTATTATCCTTTTGTTAAACAGTAGCGTGTCTGTGTCGATTTCTATGCCACCACAGACACTACGAGAACACTGTGTGACTGTTGTATCCCTTTTTGATGCTAGTGGCACCTTTATCACTGCTATGAGACCGAGGTCTCATTCGTAGCCTTCGTAGATGTTAAAAGAAACAGCGCCGCTAACGACGGCTAGATGGAATAAGGTACCTGACTTTGAGCAAGTCACGTACAATTGGCCCGATCACATTTTACTGAGCAAAATTATTCCTTTAGGTGGTTATAGGGCCCTTACGGGCAACACTTAAATAAGCGCAAGATACAAACATACGATTCGAGGACCTAGCAACGAAAGTCGTGGGCTAGGTAGGGTTGTGAGTGGGTTCAACTGCGAGTCAAAATACCGCTTCTAGTCATCAGTCATGTCATCCCTGATCCACCGAATAATTCGCCAGGCTAGAATTGCCTTCTTGAATCGGTCATGCAACGAACTAGAAGTGACCGCCCTGCACAAGTTGGTCTCCCAACTGACGGCCGAAGACGTGGGCATCGGTGAGGCTACATTTCGCCGTCATCGGCACTACGAGGCGCCAGTATTGTACATAAACGTTTTCGACAATGAAGATTTCGCAGTGACAATTTTTGTGCTCAAACAGGGTTGTCGAATCCCGCTTCATAACCATCCAGGTAGGTGCCAGAGGTCTTTTCCGCAACTCTGCTCAATTCCTCACCAATCTCTGCGCTGTCTTCGTCTCCTAAAGGCAACTGTAAGATCTATAAAACGCTGAATAGATATGTTAACTAAAGCAAACGTGTTGTAAGGAAAAGGGATTATATAAATGTGAGTTTGCGGAGAAAACGTGATCTATTACGGGTCACTGTTGTTGGCTAGTATTAGCTGTTTGCATAATGGTGCAGTGGCAACATGTTTATGATAATCTTGAAAACATTTAATGTTATAGTATAGGTAGATCGAGTATAGGTAGACGCACTGTCCTGCGGGATGATCAAATTAGCCGTTTGAGCAGCTATGTCTTATGGCAGTAGTATTGGCCGCAAAAGCCAAAATGCTTAGGCTAGTAATAGCTCAGGCAGTAATAACATGCAATGAACATTCCGCATGTATTTACAGTGTTTACAATAGATAATATTTTTAAAGGAAATTCTGTCGACTCTACACCGTACATATATGAACCCACCACAACGATATGAGTTTCGTTCGATAATTTTTCGCCGAAATGCAAATTGAGCAGTTGTACTGAGAACTTATTCAGCTACTGAAACGAACATTTACTGCAACTGAGTTTAAGGTATTACATAGAAAAGGACTAAATCGTATTGAAAGCACAAATAGCTTATTCATGGGTTTTTAAAATCTATTTTACTATTGTCTAGTAGGGAGATCGACATAAAAGCCAATGGCAGATAACATTCTCATGAACAATAATGTTCAGATTTTTTTATATATATATCAATTTCTATACCTCTATAATGGAAATTTTTACTTTTGTCTTTTTCGGTTTTTATAAACCGTTATTTTGGTGAACAAAAAAGCCGTACTGATTTATTATGGTCCATATAATATTGACGAAAACGTTTGCTAACGTATATACGTATATTATACCATTAGTACTGTTTGTCTAAAAAAGGACTGATCGGTAAAATAAGTGAACAAGAATCCCGTATTTTCTTCATAGGTGCAGCATTGTGGGGTGTAAGTAGTTTTTCTTATATTTTCTTTGTACATTTAATTTTCACAATTTGCTTTGTCGTCTATTCATAAACAGTGAACTCACTTTTCTACGAAACATCACAACAGACAATAACCGTGAGACAGTCAAGTTTGCTTCTTCGTTATTGCCGATACTTACAGAAGTCAAAAATTATCGAACAAAAACGGAAGTTGATACAATTGGAATCTCTTCTAGGACAAATTTTTCCCAGTTAACAAGATCCTGAACTAGGAACCTACTATGCGATTAATAGAACGCACCATGTTGAGCTTCTCTAAACAGCTTCATGAACATCTATTTGTTTTTAGTTTTTGTTTTTTTTGTTAATTCATATCATATTCTGCTTTCATAGCGTGCTTTACTCTAATCAGATAATTACGTATCATCTTTTTCGTAAAAACGTTTTTGTTCGAAGTTGCTATTAGGTTAAGCATTGTGTGAGTTAGACTCCAGTTAAACACAGTGTTTTCATCAAAAGAAAGCAAACATATTTTTTCATATCATTTCCAGGAATGACGGGTATTTTAAAAGTACTCCACGGTACGGTTCGTATCGAGTCATTTTCGCCGACGTCAGCACCTCAACGCAGTGCATTTTCCTATATCTTTGGCCGGGGTCGTGGAGGCGTGCAGGCCGTTCGACACGAGCCTATTATTGTGTCACCTCGCGATGAACCATGCAGGCTCTCGCCTAACAAAGGCAACATACACGAGGTATTTATACAAAGCTTTGTTTTCAATTTTTGTTTCTCCAAAGTTAATTAATTTTGTATTCTGCAAGTTGTTTATGATGTTATATGCAATAATACAGTTATAGTTGCACAGAATGATAACATTACATTATCTATTATTAAATGTCATTTCCAATTTCGTATTCGAATTGACCATTTGTTTATATTAGTTTCGTAGTATACATTGTTATCAGTTGCTCTTTGTTGTAGATATAAAAAGAGTTCATATTCATTTACTGTTACTGAGTGAAATATTTTGCCTATATCGTAACAAGCTATTAATAATATTAAAAATAAGAATAGTTATATTAATTATGGTCTCCATTAAAAAAAATCATACCACTAGGTTAGAGCCGACCAAGGCGGTCCGGTAGCGTTTCTCGATGTCTTGTCTCCACCGTATGACAGCGGATCGAGGGATTGCACCTATTATGCCCTCTCCAGTACCGCGTCGCCTACCAGCGATGGCGAGCGGTGTTTCCTGCAAGAAGTCCCAACCCCCAATGACTTTTGGTGTGACACCTTCCCGTACGAGGGGCCGCGTCTCGGTAGCTCAAATGATGACGAGGTAGAAAACTAGCAGCAGAAGTAATTACTCCAGCAAATTCGACCCGCCCACATACTTATTATTAATACCGCAATATCTGGTAGGTGCGCAGTGGACCACGAATGTATCTCACCTTGGCCTTGACCACTTCTGTTTCGATTTACTAATGGACTTTCGATTGTTTACGCTAAAATGAACGCACTGCACGTTAACAGTCAGTTCTACGTACGATCAGCTGTGCTCAGTTTGTGTGGAACCCTGTGTTTCCTACTGAGGCAGGGTGGGTTTGATGCGTTCTATACATGCAAAATGTGTGCAGGAACGGCCAGAAGACGCGAGGCTCTCGCCTCATGGGATGTTCTCTAATGCCCGTGGTAATAACTATGAAGATGCGCCGTAAAATGACTGCGTCTAAGATTTGAGCAAAGTCAGGACCGCAACGAAAAGGCGTTCTTGTCACGAAGGCAAGTCTTGTGTTTGAACGACGCCTTGCTGAAAGGCGTCTTATGGACGGTAAACGGCTAGGTAAGCCAATTTCAAACTCGAATTTTCGAAGCAGCTGGAAAATATTGCGAAGCGATGTAAGTCGCTCGGAGAAGATCAATTTTCGGTACCCAATTACGGCCACGGGGTGTCACGGAACAAAACAACAGGACGGGAATCTACGGCAGGGTGAGTGAGAGCACCGCATTAAAAAGTGGTTACGATAATTATGTCGAAGATGATGCTGAGGACTATAACCTGGCTGATCTTACTGCACAATTTTATAGTAGTCGCTGCAACAAGCAAACCCCAACTCAATTAGGGACGTTTTTGTCCAATCCGCTGAGAACGCGCGCTTAGAGCGAAATCAGAAGTGCCAGCTTATCGGTATATTTCTTCCATAATAAGCTCTCTCATGTGAACCTTGGCCCCTGGGTAGTCTTCTGGGTTAAAATATTGATGCTATCCAGTAATGAACTTCTCGTCGGTAATGGTCCATTTTGGTCCAAATTGTCTTTTAATGAGAATTTTATAAAGAGTAAATTGTCGTACACCTAAGTGATGTATTTCTTTATCTGCAGATAATTTTTTCTCACCAAACACGCACACGTAACCTCGGACATACACAAGAGTAACACTAAATGCCACCGCGAAATTTACTTGGGTTTGCACCGTTTTGCTGAGATGAAACGAAAGAATTGTCAATAAATGACAGGTCGTGATGGCGAAATGAATAATATACTGAGTGCGGAAGTTATCTGTTAAAATTCGAGTTTTTAGAAAGTTTACTACTCTATTAATAATTATTACTATTGTAAATCCAAAAGCGTTATCTGAAATTGATTCAGCATATGCGCAACAAAACAAAACATAGATAAATTGTAGATAGGTTTATCTCACCGCTCTGTGAAACAATTTTTTCTTTGCTAAATCTAGCAATCACAGTTATGATTGTTAATGACCCTGTGCAAAATTTCCAAGCTAAGCAAAAGGCTACCAATGGGAAAATGTTTTGTTTTTCACTTAGACGGTGTCGATTTAATTAAAATTGTTCGTAGTTTGCAAACCGCTTCGTTCATTTCTTCTTTTCTTAAGTTATTAGTTATCGTCCCGTGATAAAAAAAAAACAAGTTACTCTTTCATTAATCTTTTTTAGAATACGTACACATTATGTACGAGCAAGAAAAGAGAACGACAAAGCGATTCATCGTGAAGTTTGAAGATTTCGCTCCTCATGTTTCATGTCTCGCTTGGCTTGAAAAACAATTTGAACAAATATGAAGCATGCATGAGTGTAAGCCTTTCCCAATGTTTTTGTGTCTCACGAAGATGGTAGGTTGTTTCGAATCTGTTATGTGTTCTGCCACGTACCACTGTAAATTAGACTGAGCTAAAGTGCTGGTATCAGCTCGAAATGGAATTACTAGAAAGTTTGACGATAGCGTTTTCTGTCCCGACATAAGGTTATAGAAAAAGGTAATGATTTTTACCATGTACCCTGGTGGGTAGACGAGAGCATATATTAACATATTGTGCATTTCGTGATTAAATCTGTGTAAAAGGTGCTTGTTGGAATTGAGAAGAAACACTGCTAGTTGCTTATCATCATTCTAATAATATCATTATGATCTTTGCTTTAAAGCGGAAATGAATGAATATTAATGCAAATAAGAGTTTTGTGTGGCAACAGAACATGAAAAAGCAGGCTGTGATACGAATGAATGCGTGCGTCGTAATAAAATAATAATAAATATGAACAATAATGATGGAAAAAGACAAATATTATTAAGAGTAATAAAAAAAAAACGCATAAACCGGTAAATAAAAAAAAGTACACGAAAATATTTGTATTCAAAAAGAGATTTTTTTTTTCAAATTTTTCTTTGTTTAAAAATAAAATTCCTTTTTTTGTCACATGTTTAATTCAAAAATATTGCTAAGTGAGTTGATTGATTAGCTCATGTGAGACCCAATATTGGTATTCCATAAATGTTGTATACTAGACCAAACCAGAGCGTAAACTTATTTAGGGTACTTCTCCACATGTTAAATGCATCTTTGTGGCACTCAGTAACGTTTATTTCAGGAAAATTACAACTCGACTCTCAGAAGCGAAAAATAATCGTCCCTAGTAGATACTAGTTCACTTTTATCGCTGAACCGCTCTTTAAAAAAAGACACTGTCTGAAGCATTTAATATATAAAGTAGTCATTGAGAGGAGACCATTTGCGAACGCGGCAGTTATTGAAGTTTTTCGAATTAGTTTTTTTCCATTGTTCTCTTGAAAAAAAATCGATATGCGCTAAACTTCGCTATTTTTCTGAAACAAGACTGTTGCCTTCATCACTTCTGCCCTCTTCGCATATGACGGATCTTTCAGGCAGAAAACAAGTTAATATTGTAATTGCCTGAAACTCCTCTACTAAAATGAAATACTCGACTGGGATTACGTCGGGCATATCTAAAAATAGACTCCTTCTGCTTAACATCCTCTTTTTCATAGCAGATTGCAGCTTCGATCATTTCTAACTGAGCTCAGAATTTTTGAACAGAAATGTGTGTAGCAGGATCCAGCTTGCATCAGAGATTACAACTTTATGCCTAAGTTGTTGACGTTTTTATCTGACTAATGCAATATCGATCTCAATTCAGGACCATAACCAGGCTTACTGAGATCTGTCGGTGCACAAGGACCTAAGTTCATTCCTACCAATTCTACTAAACAAACCAAAAGACGCAACTGACGTCCAGTACTATGTGGCTCCAGTTAGAAGAATATGAGAGCGAATGCTAACTCAATCCCCTGTGCAGTTAATGTGGAAAAAAGTGTAATTAAAGAAAACATGATAAAATAAAAATCCGTATTTATTGCCTATATAAATAAAACAAGCCAATTTTTTCAGTTGCAGCTAATGTGGACCTCTGTAGGCTCTATTTCTTAGAAATCTTGAATTTACATATAATAGGTATGTAGAAGTTCGTGTTAGTAGCTCGCATGGTAGGACTCGTTCCCGAATTAAAATTTTATTTCGTTGTTGAAATACGTCGTTAGTTATTCTAGAGAGAATACGTTTTGGCTAGTTGATAATAGTTTCTTTTTAAGAAAGATTTACATACATAACAAAAAATATCCTTACAATGTTTTCAGTCAAAATTATATTTTTTTGTACTTTTTTTTGTTTTGAACGCGGCTTTGTATTAGATATATGGATCTGTGCAAGTTATATGGTTAGCATATATGGTACCTTCTATATAATCAAGTAGAAAAACGTTTTTTCATTTGAGACGAAAAAGCATAACGGCACATTAGATTTTTTTCTTCTTTATTAACCCTGTGAATAGTAATAGGAAACAAACGAAATTGAAGGAAACTTCCTGGCTTCTACATGGAGTGCTAAATGCTGTTGGCTTATTTTATTCGAATAGCACCTTCGTCCGTTTGCGATGGAATAATATGAAGGTCTCATTGAGCGATAGCTTTAGCTTTCCCAAGGTCGCAAGGTTCATTCTTTTCTTCGTTCTTTTTTGCTGATCCTGCCCTACTCTTGATTTTCATTTCTAAAGATTGGCGCGTTTCCACACACAAACACTCGCACACAATTCAGACGCATACGGCTACTCGGACTTTTTTTGGATTTCTTTTACGTCTTCTCTCTGTTATGAAACCACTCGACATGTTCGTTATCCAAAAGATACAGTTGTGATGCAACTTCGATTACTAAAGCTGCTTAGATGGGCCGTCAAACGGACAGACGAACAATGCTAGAGATAAGGACTGATATAGATATAGGAACAAATTGCCTGTGCCGGTTGTGGCAACGTCCATATTGACGATAGGCAGTGGAGAAAGATTTGCACGAGACTTGTGGAAGTGAATCGAAGTGCTGGAGGCTCCGGATATCGCTGAAGTACCCGACAACGGATTGACAGCCTTCCATCGCTAACGGGAACAGAGAAAACAGTAACACTTCTATCAATCGCGGCGAAAATGGTGGCTAAGTCACGGCGGGCGCTATTGCCCCAGTAACTGCCGCTGGGTCGGCTTCGGCTGGCGAATTTTTTTCTAAATTTTCTGATTCGTCCGTCTCGTCGTGTCCTATTCGATTTTTGCTGCCATTTCCGATTCACAGGAAGTTCTCTCAAGACCCTTTCGAGCAGAGCAAGCTCGTTCTTCTTCAAAGCGCGTACGAAAAGGATTGAAAAAACGTGGAAATGGAGTCATCCCCCGATGTAGTCAGCAAGCAGTTCCTTGCAGAGGAGAAGTAGCCAGAAAACGAAGTAGAGATTGGAGACAAGGGCGAGCATTCGTGCAGAAGAGAAGAAGAGTGATTCTGTGTATGTGCGATTGTCTGTGGACGGTTGTATGGTAGGTAGACAGTACATCACGATAAGAGTGGGTACTAAGAGTTTGATGGTAGGCCACTTTAAAAGTTCGATAAGGGCCTTTTGTTCACCATCGGGTGAGTAGAAATCAATAGAGTGAGAGACGGTAATGCCGGGCAAGTGAGCTGCCGTTGTGTATTATTAGCGATAATTGTGTGAATGCATCTGTTTTTTAAAGATAGAGTCTAATTGAGAGCAGGTCCATACAGGCATGTTATAAGTTAGCGTCAGCAAGAATAGAAATGTGTTGTCTCTCAGAAGTAAAAGATTATGTATTATACATATATATAGGTGTTTCGGTAGGAAACGAATGATATTTCAGATCTTAAAAACTACGCTTACCTATGAATAGGTGCCTTTTCTTAGATAACCTAAAGACTGGACCAGTAAAATAAGCGTGAGTAGTACCAAAGATTTGAACAAAATTTAGTCGAAAACCAAAAAATCTGCCTTGTCTAAAATCTGCTGTGACCAATGTTTAAAATAACGCTTCCATATAATGCAAATACCAGCGGAACCGCTTATTCCTTAGCTGAGCAGAATGCACAGGATAAAATGGTTCATGAATCATTTAACCCGTTTACTTTTAGAATTGTCTCAATTACGTTTAAAATTTTCTAGATTTCTATCGAATAAGAGGTTTAAGCTTCTAGCTTAGCTTTTTTTGGTTAGACAACCAGTGCGAGGGCCAACGTAATGTTTATTTACCTATTCTCAAGCCGAACACGATAAAAACCTACACCTCACTCAATTTAGGGCCTTTTCTTTTGTACACTGTATTGCTTCATTACGGATCTAAAAACTACCATACCCTCTAGTTAAGTTCTCATTAGCGCACTGCATTAGGAGTACTGAAATTAGTCGTAAGGTTTTATTTTTCTGAAATTGCTCGCTATACGTATATATGTCCTAGATTTCATGTTCTGTTTTGTCTGGTAACATCGCTTCATTTGAAGTTTAACATTTTAAGTTCATGCCGCAACAGTTCTGGCGCTTTCGGAAAAAACTAAAAAAAGTAGTTCACTACTTGATCAAATGTACGAAAAACAAATTATACAATTCTAAAAAGACTCTAGAGCTATATTTTGTAGCTTTGCAAACATAACATCAACTCCATTACGAGAGCGCATTAACAAACAGACCGGACAAATGACTTCAGATACGCAGAAGGTCTAAAAGCAAAGCTTGAAATATACTTTACAAAAAATGACTTATTGCAGCTGCATCAGTTCCGGTGAATTTCCTTCATAGAGCATTCGTAAAATTCGATTAGTCGCAAGAATAACTGAACCATATCAATATATTCGCTATTATATAGATTAGTATATCTGTCTTATTAACTTGAAAGATTATTTCCCTGCACAAAAAGATCCTAATTTTTTTCAAATCCCTACTTACCGTACTACTTTTATTATCTCAATTGGGTTTTTCAGTTAACCTATGCTATATTTTACCATCACTTTTTTAAAATAAATTTTTAAATTAATTTTACCATTATTTTGTTTTTTACCGTTTATTTAGAATGTCGAATGTGAACGAATACGTTGCAATGAATAACCAAAAGAAATTACAGTTTGAACCAATAAAGTATTCCGATAAATTTTCGGTAACTGCCGGACTAAAGGCGGCCTCGAATGAAGTCCAAGCTAATCTCGAAACGCCCAACACATTACTCGCTTTTCATATAATTTAGGGACTCTCAGTGAAAAATATATTTTTCAGACGAAGATTTAACAAGCCAAAAATAATAACAGATCCCGAGTCTTCAAATATCTTGCTTAGCTGGCTCTTGGTGAACCCAGTAAAGAAAGGCCCTTAGTAACCATAGTAAATAGCAATAGCTGTCTGAACTTTAGCCAGAAAACAAATGCTACAATCCAAACGAGAAGCAAGCCGGTGGTAAACATGAAAAAAAAACGTACGTTTCATTCGTGAGAGAAAACATATACTTATATTTATGCTAGAGTCATACGGCGGGAATGCTTTGGCTGATATGACAGCGCTATCCTGGGTTAGTCAAAAACTTTTAAACGCCGTCATGTTCAGTGATACATGTAGCAGATCCGGACAGCCGCGGTCTCCATGGTTATATGCAAGAAAAGCTTCCCAAAGAACGCCGTGTCGTGAACGAAGTTATTGGATTACGGTAATCTAGTTTAGCAAGCCTTCAATGCTAAATCCAACGGAACGTTTGTAGGCGAAATTTTATTGAATCAACTTTTATATACTATATTATGTAATATAATAATTACGCTATTGTTTTGTTATATATAGACAAATGTGTCTGCATTAACGTTCACCAAAGAAACTGTAACAAGAGCAGCTCAAAGATCTTCTACCGGAAAAGTTTCTACCGAAAGCCATAAACAAAGGCTATTTATGAATTTCGTGGGCTAATACTTAACAAATATGATGCTTTTTTAAA